AACGTGTATGGGTTAAGTGCAGAGGACAAATTCCATGGAGGCCTATGCTATGCATAATTGGCCTTCACGTCACGTCAATTTACTTCAGTGGTTCATTGAAAATTGCCATTCAGAAGAACCGATTCGGTTCCCCATGTGTTGCGCTCGTGGTTAAAAACGTTATTTTGCAGAGATGCATGATGGGACAAATTGTTACCCATGAAACATATTTGAGCAGTTTTTTAACATAAGAAACATGAAATCAATTTCCTTTTTATTTTACATCAGCCCTACTCTTTAGACAGCATTAATTAAAATACAAGCAAGAATGTCTAGAATGTAAAGAATCTAGCTTTTCCTTTCCTTTTCCTAAAGTACGTTTATAGAAGATTTGTATTTTTATAGTTGTATAGTTGTTGTTTTTTAAAGTAAATTATGCCCTGACTGAATGTTTTGCTGTTTATTTGAAAATTAATCCTGTACCTCTTTTCATACATTGGTGATGTTTCTGATATTGTCAGATATTTCTAAAAACCCAAAGGACGCTGTCATGGACAAACTGCTAAATTTAGTAGCCTATTTCTCGGAAAGCCCAGGATGTTCAAAAACAGTGACGTGTGGACTCAGAGAAATGTATGGATAAAGTCCTCTATAGAACAAAAATGAACTGCTGGGCCCAAGAGATTAAATAAAAATAAGAAAGGCAGAGCATTAACCTCTTCATGCTTGGTGTCCTCTGGAAAATGCCATACAATTCTAATGAAACAAAATTCAGAAAATTAGTAAAAAATGGTTTTGCTTGCAAGCTTTTAACTGTATAAAAACAAATCTGGATTTGCAAGGAATGTTTTAAAAGTCAGCAAAGAACTCCATTTTAAACAGCATAAGGAATAGTCTTTGGATAGTGAATACTTTGAATACTTCAAAGTGTTCACCCCTTTTCCTTAAGGACTCGGGTAAAACTTTGCTGCATGAGAATTCCTTTTCTTGCCACTACTGAACAAAGTTCACCATTTCAAAGCCAAAAAATATTTCACAAAATAGATGATGCTGCAGTCTCATGTGGAACTCTCACTGATATACAGTATTTGTTTCACCGTGCAGGAGAGCGGTAACTAACCGTCAGAAAAACTACATGACTTATCTAGCCTATTTTCCATATACAGTGTCCTGTTTAGTTAAACATATAGGCCTCTCAGAAATATTCCTCATCATTCTTCAAGAGAATTACTAACATCTGATCTGTGAGGCGGACACAACTAAGAAGAAAGATTCTGAAAAGCTTGATAAATGAACTCCATTTTGTTAAATGAGTTATACCAAATACAAAGTTATTGTTACCAAAAACAGCCTATTGCAGCCACATTGCCACACATTTCGTTTTGCAGTCAGGAAATTCCAATTATGCATTTGAATTGCCAGTTTGCATCCATCAAAGTTGCTATTAAAGCACATTAAGTCAAACATCTCCTGCCTCATGCCAAGAGTTTTTTTTTTTTTTTGTCTCCTGCCTTGTGTGAGACATTTCTTCTTTACCCTGCTATGATTGTGAAGACACAAGCTACGTAGAGTAAACACTGTTTTATCATGCAGCCACAAACAAGTCTTTGAGCTCATCAGACATTTCAATTAATTATTAAAAATGTCTACAGAGAGAACAAAACTAGGAAATGAAACTCTGCCACATGATTCCAAATTGTCAGATTGGAGATTAATCTGATCCACAAAAAGGGCAATTCAGGATAATGTCTCTATATTCAACAAGGCTAAAAACTATTCTGGAAAAAAAAGTATATTATATTTATATTTACTTCACAAGTGACTATCCTGAGTTGTGAAGCAAAGGGGCAGCAGATATTTGTGATTTGTCTTATACCGTTTTTGTATTCTGACTGTTGTGGCATTCATTGATCTGATATTTCCTAATATTCCTCATCATACAGTGCTAAAACACTCATCTGAATGGGTCACTGGGTGTCTCTCGTATCACACCGCAAACTTGCGCACAACTTAAACATATTTTCATTTTCAAATCTTCTATTCATTCATTTATGTGTAAAACTTTTTAAAGAGGAATAGAGTACTTTGTGCACATTTAAAAACTTCAGAGATTTAGTTATACTTAAATGAAACATCAATCAAACAAAATGTAATTATGATGCGATGCTTCTATAGGATGCAGGCTTGAGTCAGGCCTGTCCTGTGTATATGTCTTGATCTCATTCTCTGAAGCCATGAAGCCCTTCTTTTTCTCCGGGCGCTTCTTTTTTTCCCCACAGTCCAAAAACATTGAGGTAAATAGGAGAAGTTTGGAGACGCTAAAAATTGTCCGTAGGTGTAAATACGAGTGTGTGTGTGTGTGTGTGTATGTGGTGTGTGTGTGTATGTGTATGTGAGTCCCATGTAATGGGGAGGCTTGGGGAAATACTTGGCAACCATGGAAAAATCATTGCTAAGAAAATTCATTGACAACCTCTTGCGTATGACGAGAAATAACTCATAGAATCCAGGAGTCGGATAAATGGTTAATGAATGAAAGATATAATAGTCCTATAACAGAGATGAGATTTGTAAGTAAACAAACACCACAGATCTACTGACTCACCAGGATCATATATGAATTGTCGCATTTTAACATGGACAGGGCAATTTCAGCAACAGTCAGTGCAAATCACTGCAATGACTTTTAATTTAAGCTGACATTCATCATTAGTGCTCTGCTTGACAGGCTATTCTCTGAAAAAGACCAATGAGGCTTGAGGGAAGCAGAGAGCATGCTGGGTCAAAGCAGCTGTTTGGCTTTCATCTCTCTCGCACTTGACCCAGGTTTAACCTTGAGCTTTAAAAACAGAAGGCATGGTGGCTTGTTACTGGAATATTGACCTTAAACATGAAATAAGTTGAACTTCAGCACTGAAGTCTAACTAATCCTATAGCTCATAGCTCAGTGTAAAAAATGTAAAAAAAAAAAAAAAAAATAACAAATTAGATTACACTAAATAATTCCTTTAAATAAAACACTGATTAAAATAAATGGATTTAAATAATGATAATAATAAATAATCGTTCTAAACAAATAACATCATAAATATAATATCTACATTCAAGCACAATGGTAGAAACAACTGAACAATGTAACATAAAGAAACTAACGCATATTTACATTATTAGTTTGAACAGTATACATTTGGTCTTTACATGAAAATATAGCTTTTAAACTTTAGGAATGGGGTGCCTCACACCAGGAAAATCATATTTGGGGGTCCATGGCATCTAAAAGATTCACTCACAGAAAAAAAGGCACCAAAGCTGTCACGTCGGGTAAAAGGTACTAATCATTTAGGTAATATCACTTTAAGTACTAATATATGCCTTTAAGATACTAATAAACACAGTTTAGTGGTAAATAAGGTACAAAAGTTTACCTTTTGAAAGCTGCCCCAGCTTCTATACTGCTTTAAATCATAAACCCAGTTTTACCCACCAAAGAATTGGTCACAAAAATTATGCATTCAGATAACATAAGGCTCTGGGGGTGACTTGCCCCAGCTGTTTAACAATGAAGAAGAAGAAGAAGAAGAAGATGATGATGATGATGATGATAATGGTGGCTTTTTCACATATGCCTGGGAACATGCTGTCCTATTCTGTGCAGTTCTCTGCTTCATTACAGATTCATTTTTCACGCCACTTAACTCCATGAGGATGAGTGCTCACCATTCACATATACAGTACAGGATGTTTTTTTCTTCTTCTTGCAAGCTTTGTCTCTGTAGCTGTCGAATTTCAGCTGATAGGTTTTGAATGTTCAGCTTTTCCGGGCTTTTGTTATCTCCGAGCTCTGCGTGGTGTTCTGAAAAGTCTAAAATGATAAGCATTTTTTTTCTGGTGGTTTATCCAAAGTGACTTACAATACACTTATATCATGGACAATATCCCCTGAAGCAACCTGGATTTAAGGGGCTTTTTGCAGTGGCACTGTCAGTGATCATGAATCGCCCCTTGCAGGGTTTGAACCAACCTTTTTGTTCACCAACCTAAGGGGTGATTCGCACTGGCAAGATGGGCTTTTAATAAACTTGAAAAAAAATTAAATAGAAAGGCGATAGAGAAAAAAAAGAGAGAGAAAACAGAGGAAATGGCTATGACGTAGGGGGAAAATAGGAAAATCCCCATAATGCACTGGGCTCAAACCAACTGACAAATAAACCAGGAGATCTGGGTCCAGGTAACATGAAGAACGAGTACATACTGTTAATTTAGCCTACCAACATTGTAAAAATACAAAGCTTTTTAAAAAATGGCAAACATGTCAGTCTTCACCCCATCCGTCACCAAAACCCCAGCCAGCTCCACATCATTGAGAGGCAGAAAGAAATTCTGGTTAAGTTTTCTAATTGGTTTAAAATAGTTTTCCTGTTATTATTATTATTCATAGGCCTAATATTATTATTCATATTCATAATCATATATAATTATTATTAGTTAACAATCTTAATCAAGCTCCACTGATCTGCACTCTCCAGCTGTTGCTGCATGAAGTCGCTTAGATTTGATGTTGTATATTTGCATAAAATTAATAGGCTATTTGGTGGACGCGCCCACATTGCAAAGGATCGCAGTCGCTCATGGCTGTCGCCAGTTTATCTTTTATTGAAAATGATTGTCGCTGTAAACCGAGCATTTGGTCTGTCAGAGAGGCAGTGTTATTATAGGCCTCCTGTATTTTAGTCATTATATGCCTATCTATCAGATAAGTAATTTTATTATTTATTCTCCCCTTTCCAGTCTATATTTAATCTAATCTAGGCTATATGAGAACTGAAGTCAGGGCATATCGAGAGCAAACATTTAAAAACAGTGTTGCTGCTACTTTCAACCGAAATAGATCGCAAGAAAAAATAAACATCTTCGTGTAGGTGGAGCTGAGACCTTCCGCTTCCCTTTGATGAGAAAGTTACGCGTTTAACCTACTAGAGTGCGCAATACTCACACACTTCCTCGCATGAAAAACCGAACTGTCACTTACATCAAGTCAAGGACTGCCTCCACGCGCACATTATTATCAGCCAAACCAAAGCGAGTGTCCTCTCTCGTCCCGTTTACTTAGGTTTTCCTTTCCTATACCCTTATAATTACGACTTGTCTTGTTTTTTCTTTTTCTTTTGGAAAGCTGGAAGACACCCCAGATCTGCGCTCGCTTCAGCATGCGTTTGGCGGACGGAGCGCACTCTTGGCGAGCTCTTCATCATCAGGCGCAGGGATGATGTTCAACTCATCGGGCGCACTAGATTTCTTCTCGTTCACTCACCCTGAGGTCGCGTCGGAAGTTCTCAATGGTTCCTCACACTTATTCTACAACATCTCAATGGCCATGTGGAACAATTCCTGCGGGGAACAACTGCTTGATTTCACCTCAGCGGAGAAGATTGTTATCGGAATGATGCTGGCCATCATCACCACCGTGACGGTGATTGGAAATATGTTGGTGGTGATTGCGGTGTGCGTCGTTAAAAAGCTCAGACAGCCGTCCAACTATCTGCTGGTGTCTCTGGCCGTGGCGGATCTTTCCGTGGCTATTGTGGTGATGCCATTCGTGATCGTGACGGACCTCACCGGAGGAAAGTGGCTTTTTGGAGAGGTCTTCTGTAACATCTTCATCGCTATGGATGTGATGTGCTGCACTGCATCCATCATGACGCTGTGCGTGATCAGTGTGGACAGGTGAGTACGTTGGGTTCTTAAGTCATTTAGGGGACCCTTAGATTCAAAGTGACTTTTTTTACAGGGACAATCCTCTTCTTCGAGCAAGTGCTTTGAACACAGTGGTGATGGTATGAAGCAACCCATTTTGGAGTTTGAACCTTCAACCCTTTTGGTTATTTAGCATCTGTTTTATAACCACTAGGAGTTTATGCAAAATGTTTTATCCTTAAAGAGATACTCCACCCAAAAATGAAAATTCTGTCATCATTTACCCTCAAGTTGTTTCAAACCTGTATGAGTTTCTTTCTTCTGCTGAACACAAAGGAAGATATTTTGAAGAACGATTGGAACCAAACAGTTGTTTGGCACCATTGACTTCCATAGTAGAAAAAAAAAAACTATGGAAGTGCCAAAGTTCCAATCGTTCTTCACAATATCTTCCTTTGTGTTCAGCAGAAGAAAGAAACTCATACAGGTTTGCAACAGCTTGTTGAGGGTGAGTAAATCATGACAGAATTTTCATTTTGGGTGGAGTATCCCTTTAAGCAACAGGATAACTGTGTGTGTCTCGTTCATCAAGCCTGCATTTATTTATTTGATCAAAAATACCGGAAAAATAATACTGTGAAATATTATTATAATTTAAAATTATGGGTTTCTAGAGACTTCTTTAAAAAACATTCAACTTTTGACCGGGACTATATGTATACAAAAGATCACTGGTGAATTTCTGTTTTATTTTATTTTTATTAAATATATAAATCATACTGTATGAACTCCACAAGTTTGTGTAAAACCTGAAATTCTCAAATCACTCTGGTTAACATGTTCTCTTTCATAGGTTCACTCAACGCTGCGGAAAGCGCAGTGGGATATCCTCTGGATGTGCCGATTGTCTGAAGCCCTATAGAATCACGCCAATCCATTGGCTGATGGCGCTCGCGCAAAGCTGGCTCCGCCCCGACGCTCTTACGTCGTAGCATGATGTACGCGCGCGCGCCATCTTCTCCTCAGATTTCTCTGCCTTCACGAAGCGGTCACATCTCGCCCTTCGTGCGGTTTTTCTGAGCCCGAATTCTTCAATTCAACTTCAGCTTTCGTCTCGACACTTCAGCGACTGGTATAAGTGGAACTCTGTTCTCCTTACAGTGAAGTGTCATGGATTATCGACGCTGCTCTCCGCCATGCGTTCGTTTCATCTCGAACGACGACCCTCACAGTAAGTGTGTTAAATGTATGGGTTTTTCGCATGCGCGTGAGGCTGTATTAGGATTGTCGAAATGTAAATTTTGTGACAATCTCCTTCTCAAAACCCTCCGCTCTAGACTCGCGGTTTTTGAGAAGGAGACATTCGTTTCCCCCCGTCGCGCTCCCGAGACTGCTGAGGCCTCTCGTGGATCCGCGGCCTGGGGTTCGGATGTTGAGCTCGAGGATATTGAGTATGAGCAGACGGGCCTCGCCCTTTCTCTCCCTCCCTCTCCCGAGCACGCACGCGGCGCGGTTGAATTCGCGCATGATTATTTATGTCCCAGCCCGGGAGCCCGCGAATCGGTTTCTTTCGGTCTGGATGACGTTATTTACACTGCAGCCTCCGACTCCGAGGATTTCGGGCCTGCTCTGGCTGATGACGTTATCCCGCCTAGCGGCCAGGACGCGCGGCCTACTCCGGCCTACACTGAGCTTATTGAGGTGCTGTCGCGCGCTACAGAGAAGCTCTCTATTGACTGGCCTGATGAGCCCCGCGAGTCTCAATCGTCCAAACTCGACGAGAGGTTCCTACGTGGCCCTAATTCTAGGCCAGAGCGAAGAAAGCTGCCCTTTTTCAGCGATCTGCATCACGAGATCTCCAGATCCTGGAAGCAGCCATTCTCCGCACGCCTAACTAATGCGGCAGCCGCTGACTTCACCAACCTTGTTGGTTTTGTGGAGCAGGGTTATTCCGCTATTCCAGCGGTCGAGGACACGCTGGCTAACCACCTCGCCCCGTCGTCTGCACCGTCTTGGAAGGCGCGTCCCCTTCTTCCTTCCAAGGCTTGTAGGACTACTTCCTCCCTTATTGGGAAGTCTTACATGGCGGCTGGTCAGGCAGGCATGGCCCTGCATACCATGGCCATCCTTCAAGCCTACCAAGCGGACGTCTTGAAGGACATGGATGAAGGAGAGGGACTGACGCCCGAAGCTGTCAAAGAGCTTCGCAAAGCCACAGATCTGGCCCTAAGAGCCACCAAGCACACTGCTCGGGCTGTAGGTCGCTCTATGGCGGGCTCGGTTGCTGCAGAGCGCCACCTCTGGTTGAATCTCACGGAGATCCGAGACAAGGATAAGAGTTTCCTCCTGGATGCCCCTATCTCCCACTCAGGTCTTTTCGGGGAGGCGGTCAACACGGTGGTTGACAAGTTCCGCGCCGCTAAGTCTCAGTCGGCCGCGTTCAGGCAGTTTATGCCCAGGAGGGTCAGAGGGCCCAGTGACTCCAATCCTCCCTCTTCTCAAACCCGAGAACGCTCTGCTCATAGGGCTGAGTTCCCTACTAGCAGGAGTGACCCGGCTCGCCACCCACCAACTACTGTCTGGGGAGCCCGAGGTCGTCCATTTCCTCGCCAGCGCCCTCACAAGCGCCTTCAGCTGAAGCGGTCCAACAAATCGGCCGCTCCAGCCTCCTCGAGCCGTTCCTGACCCGCAGGGCAGGAAGAGGAGAGCCTCATCAGATCTACGAGGTTGGGACAGACCGCGCAAGCGTTTCTGCCCTCCTCCAGCCGGCTCTCCTCATCCAACCCTGTCACCTTCGCCACCCAGCGTGTTTCGAAGTGCAGGTCCTGTTTCACTCTCTTCACCCAGTCCGGCGCAGGAGGAAGGAGACGCATCTTGCTTTCTCCCCTCGTTCCCGGTGCACGTTACACCCGCCAATCGCTTCCTCAGAGGCACAGTTCTTTTTCCTCTGGAGCAGGCGGACCCAGTTACTTATATCCAGGTGGTGGTACCCCCCAATACGTGTCAGGACGCCAAGCGCTCTCCTCCACGGTCAACCGCGCCTCCCTCTACCAGCCTACCATGGAAACCACCCTACCTCAGGTATGTCCCTTGCACTGCAACACTCCTCTGCCTCTATCACATTTCGTTCAAGAATGGGAGCGTTTACCAGGGGTATCGCCTTGGATCCTTCGCACAGTTCGGCTCGGCTACACGCTTCAGTTTTGTCGCAACCCCCCCTGCTTCAACGGGGTCTTTTCTACTGTAGTCGACAGCGCCGCTCAGGCTTCTGTACTACAGCAGGAGATTTCATCCCTTCTGCTGAAGGGGGCGATAGAAGAGATTCCTTCGGGGGAAGTCGAACAGGGCTTCTACAGCCGTTACTTCCTGGTCCCGAAGAAGGGGGGCGGCCTGCGGCCGATACTAGATCTTCGCCGGTTGAATTTCTCTCTTTACAAAGGAAAATTCAAAATGTTGACGCTGAAGGCCATCATATCTCATATCCGGCGGGGGGACTGGTTCGTGACGGTAGACCTCAAGGATGCTTATTTCCACATCCAGGTCGTACGGCGACACAGGAAGTTCCTCAGGTTCGCCTTTGGAGGGAAAGCGTACCAGTACAGGGTCCTCCCCTTTGGCCTCGCTCTAGCGCCAAGGACGTTCACAAAGTGTATGGATGCTGCTCTGGCCCCGCTGCGGCTCCAGGGCATCCATATACTCAACTACCTGGACGATTGGCTCCTTTTAGCCCACTCCAGAGAGTTGGTGACTCACCACAGGGACATTGTCCTCCGTCATATTCAGTCTCTCGGTTTGAGGCTGAATACGGAGAAGAGCGTTCTTACTCCAGCTCAGAACACGGTTTTCTTGGGGGTATGCATGGACTCCGTTCTTATGCAGGCCCGTTTGGCTCCTGCACGGATTTCCAGTCTGGTGACATGTCTGTCCCGTTTCGCACTAGGCCAGCATGTTTCCGTGAGCACCTGCCGCAGACTTCTGGGCCTTATGGCCGCGGCCTCCCCTGTGCTACCTCTGGGGCTGCTCCACATGAGACCTTTTCTGTGGTGGATGAAGCTCTCAGGGGCTCGGCCCACGGGGCCAGCCTTTCGCCTATTGAAGGTGTCGCGCAGTTGCTTTCGCGCCCTGTCAATCTGGCGGGACCCCCTCTTCCTTCAGAAAGGAGTCGGTATGGGTGCGGTATTCCGTCGCCAGATGGTTACGACGGATGCCTCTCTGACCGGCTGGGGAGCGGTTTTCGAGGGCAGGCCAGCGTGTGGGGTTTGGACTGGCGAGACCCTCACGTGGCACATAAACAGCTTGGAGCTGAGGGCTGTCTTCCTGGCTCTTTGCCACTTTCTCCCTTTCCTCGAAGGACACCATGTCATTGTCAGAACGGACAATATGGCAGTAGTGTCCCATGTAAACAGACAGGGGGGTTCACGATCGCGCACCCTAGACAGGCATGCGCGTCACCTTCTCCTGTGGTCCCAGGACAAGTTCCTCTCTCTGAGAGCAGTTCATGTCCCAGGGATTCTGAACCTCGCAGCAGATTTTCTGTCGAGGCAGAAGCTCAGGTCTGGGGAATGGATGTTGAACCGCCAGTCGGTGGCCCTGATCTGGGAGGTGTTCGGAAAAGCGGAAGTGGACCTCTTTGCATCTCAGGAGTCGTCCCAATGCCCGCTTTGGTTCTCTCTGAGCCCTCCAGCTCCATTGGGGATAGATGCGTTCGCCCACCCTTGGCCGATGCAGAAACTCTATGCCTTCCCGCCCATCAAGCTGATCCAGGCGGTTCTGTCCAGAGTGAGGGAGAGCGGAGTCCGCCTCCTTCTGGTAGCCCCATTCTGGCCGTCCCAGCCATGGTTTTCGGAGCTGATCCCTCTGTTGGAATCCTCCCCCTGGGAGATACCGGTCAGGGAGGACCTGCTTTCCCAGCTTCAGGGCAGGATATGGCATCCTCGCCCCGACATTTGGAAGCTGTACGTTTGGCCTATCAGAGGCCGTTAGCTTTAAGCTTTGATCTCCCAACCGACGTTCAGGAGACTATTGCGAAT